CCCGCCGCGGAGCACAGGCTCCGGACGCGCAGGCCCAGCGGCCATGGCGCACGGGCCCAGCCGCTCCGCGGCATGCGGGATTCCCCCAGACCGGGGCACGAACCCGTGTCCCCCGCATCGGCAGGTGGACCCCCAACCACTGCACCACCAGGGAAGCCCTAAAATAAAAAATTTTGAAAAAAGATGAAAAGGTTCTGAAGATTGGTTGCACAACAATGTGAATGTACTTAACACTACTGAACTGTACACATAAAATGATTAAAATAGCAAATTTTATGTTACATGCATTTTATCAAAATTATTTATTTTATTTGTATTTTTTTGCGATACGTGGGCCCCTCACTGTTGTGTCCTCTCCTGTTGCGGAGCACAGGCTCCGGACGCGCAGGCTCAGCGGCCATTGCTCACGGGCCCAGCTGCTCCGCGGCATGTGGGATCTTCCCGGACCGGGGCACGAACCCGCGTCCCCTGCATCGGCAGGTGGACTCTCAACAACGGCGCCACCAGGGAAGCCCCCAAAATTATTTTTTTCATTAAAAAAATAAAAAGGAAAAAAGAAAACAGCAGCTGAGAGCCAAGCAAGAAACAGAGGGACAGAGAGAGACTGACAGATGGAGTTAGTGAGAACGACCTCCAATTGCCTTCAATGAGAGAAAAGTAGAGACAGATTGACAGATACTGTGTGTGTGTGTGTGTGTGTGTGTGTGTGTGTGTGCGCGCACGCGTGCCAAGACCCCCTCAGCCTCTTGCCACCTGCCTGAGGAAGTGACCCCCGCTGGCCTGGGCTGAGAGTGGGGGTGGGGCTTCAGCTGTTACCTCCCAAACTCCAGGAGGCCTGCCAGGTAATACTCATGGGCTGTCCCAGCCTGGCCTGGCCGCCTCCTACCTGGGGGACATCTCCTCCCACGGCCTTGGCTTTCCCTCTGCACAAACGAGGGACAGAAGAAGACTCCCCTTCAGGAGCAGCAGAGCTGGGAGACCCCTGAGGTCCGCACCCATCATTTTCCAGACAGAGAAACTGAGGCCCAAAGGGGACACTGTCAATGAGGCTCTCCGTGTCTCAGTTTGACTGGATGCCAGGGCTATGCAAGACACTGGTCTGACTGCTTTCTCTGTATAACTCGGTGACTTCTCACGGTCGCCTGTTTTACAGTAGAGGAAACTGGGGTTCACAGGGGTGTGGTAGGCTGAGCCGTGGCCTCCCAAGATATCCAGGTCCTAAGCCCTGCAACCTGTGAATGTTACCTCATGTGAAAAAAGGGTCTTTGCAGATGTGATTAAGTCAAGGAGATTAAGATGGGGACATTCATTATCCTGATGATGTGTGTGAGCTCTACCTGTAACCACATGTGTCCTTATAGAGGGAGGTAGGTGGACCTGTGACTACAGACAGAGTGGAGGAAAGCAGGGTCAGAGAAAGAAGATGTTTTGCTGCTGGCTTTGGAGA